AAGTAGTCCAGATTTTCCTCTTTATTAGATTATATCCAACTTAATCGAAAGTGGAAAATTTCTTAAAAAAGAGGAGCAAAGGTACCGATAACCACTTCATAGAAAAATTTCAAAAATCGTGCACGCTTATAATTTTGAGCAGTACTGTTATAATATATATATAAGCCCTTGACCTTAATCAGTCAATGTCATTGGTGATTGAATGATACACGAAATAGGAGACTACCGTCAACAAAGTATGTTTTCCATGAAAATGTTTCTAGAACGGAGTGGAAGACAATCTGAAGCAAAAAAAAAGATCAGTTTTACATAGGAAAATCGCTGCTAAATCTCAAACTTGATTTTATCTACTTTCGAAGTGCCTAGAAGAGCTCTGTCTATCACGGTGAAATGAAGGATTAAAACTGTCGTTTTTCATCTATATAAAAAATGGAGTTAAACGAGTTAATTAATATTTTTTCAAAACTTTCCGTTCTGCCAGAAAAATCATATCCAAATAACAAATTTATTAAGAAATTCTATTTTGGTTATATCCTCATATTTGATCAATGATAGTTTGATGCCTATTATCAGAGTAAATTTTTTGAACGTTTCAATTATTTTAATTATAAAATTGAAAAAGAAACCAGCCTGTAATATGGTATAAAGTGACCTAATGATGATCTTGACCATCAGAATAAGTCATTGAAATTTTTAGTCATTGAAAAAATAGCTAATGTATGATGAAAAATTTTAGCATTCATCCAAACTAGTATGAAATTTTCAAATATCCTAGTATTATAGTGGTTATCGGTACCTTTGCTCCTCTTTTTTAAGAAATTTTCCACTTTCGATTAAGTTGGATATAATCTAATAAAGAGGAAAATCTGGACTACTTACAGCATCCCATGATCTTTTTTTGCAAAACTGACCAGAATATTTTCCGTGAAAATAATGTTAATGGTAAGATTATGATATAATATTGTCAAAATCAAAAGTCTTACTTTTTCATGAGACTCTTTCTACTAATTTATAACTCAAGACGGAAAAATAAAGACGAAAAATGGTTTGGGGTCTGTGATATTATCCCAGATATTTACTTAATTTTTAAGTCCAATCGGTTAATACTTGACGAAGATCGTAATGTACCTAGGTTAAAAATTGAATTTCGAAATAGAAATTATATACTTTGTCGGATAAGTCTAAGCAAAAATACATTAATTCTCTTTTTTGATGTTCTATCTTTGGTATACGTACGTATCTTTGCTATAAATCTGGGTTCAAGTCGACCTTTGTTTTCACCTTGGTTAAAAAGGTGAAAAAAAGAGAAAAGTATACCTTTAAAATTTTTCGAGTGCAAGCAGTCTTGCACAGATTTGATAAAAAAAGCATGAGATAAGAATCAAGTTTTTGATTTGATAATGACCTTTGAAGGCAGCCATTGGTTTTCATGATATCTAAGTAGACGTCCATGGCAATTCTTCTTATAATAAACTTTTTCAAAGGTTTCGACTAGTTCACAAGAAACTTTTCATCAAATGATCAATAAACTGATATATTATTAATCTACTTGTAGATAATGCCTCTCTATCATCAAAATCAATAATTTTTTGTCTGTTTTACCTTCGACGTAATAATACGTATTCTGACACATTTTACCTTCTTTTCACTATAAAAATGCACTTACACTCGAAGAAAGATCGTTAATCACGATTTGATATTATTAGAAAGAAAAAAAAAGTCAGTATTTATGTTTATTAATTAATGTACAATGGACATACTTTTGACAACTATACAACCAATCTTGATCAAAACGATGACAGACATGTATAATAAGAAAAAAAGTTATTGATCCTTCATCAAATAAAATATTTGTTGTATTGTAAACCTGAAAATCTTCAAAAAATTATTAGTTAGTAGCAGGCACTCATTATCGTCTAAATAAAGTAAATATCATTGTGATCATGAGTAAAATTTAACCGGAGAATCTTTAACTAGTTATAAGAGTGATAAATTCAAAAAGGTCAGTAATTCAAATAATTTACGAACTAAACGAACCAAATCATTTATTATTACGTAGACCGCTGCGTCAAATGGTTATTGTGTTCTATGTCATCATGTGTCTAATATCCAAACAAAACACGTATTTTTAATATTAACAACGTGTGTACCATTTATACGAAGGTTATTTATCGATCTGTTGTTATACTATACTATAGTTTGTTGCGGTTATTAGAAAGAAAACGGTGATCCTCTTCTTTTCTTTGTGTTCATATTTCCTTCGCTTCACTCTCCTGATTTTTTTACACGCCTTTCTAAAACCCGTTGTTATAGTTGTGATATGAAAATTTTTAAATAAGTATATGCATTCATGTGTGACCATTATCCGTTTTATAAAATACACCAAACATATAGTTGTTTCTTTATATTATACAATTAACCTAGATTGATACACGAAGATATTTTCTATTTATTTAAATAATATTATTATTTATGTATTATTTGTTCGATAATCACCATCTCTAACAAAACATAAATGAGTAAAGAAAAAAAGAATAGACAAAAAAAAAAATATCTATAAGAATATTTTTGGTTAAAGGGAATACTTTACTGGATGACGATGTTGATAATGATGATGAATGTTTAATTAGGTACAGTAAATAAGTCAGCTGTTTTCAAACAAAAACAAGAATTGGAAAGATTTTATTTTTGAAAAACGATGCAGCAAAGTGAACAACGTATACCGGTTCATCATTCATCGCGATTAACATATCCTACTGCTTCTGGAGATTATTATCAACAATCGTCAACAACCAATGAATGTTTAGCCTATTTTTTATATCGAATAGATATTGATGATTATAAATCACGAACGTTAACACAAACTGTTGAAACAGTCTTAGCACGAACAAAATCAAGAGGTGTGTGTATTGTTTTCTGTTCTATTATGATAACATATAATACCATCGTGTGATGAATCAACTTCACACATATTGACCGTTTCGCGTTCGCGGAGAATTTCAAAAAGGTAGCAAAAGTTAAGTTCGCAGCAAAATCAAATTTCCTACTCTCATCTATTGCGAAGTCAAAAAAATTTGACTGTGAGTTCAGACGAATATTCCAGTGAGCTCATTAAAGTAGATGCGCTTAGGAATTTGTGTTTCGTAACTGTTGTTGTAGAAGATTTGATTTCGCCGGGACCTTAATTTCTGCTATTGTTGTGAGTTTGCGGAGTATGACAGTGTATAGATATCAGAGTGCACTTGTATGTGGCCTTTGAGGCGTTTTTAAATTCTCGACGAACGCGAAATTGACATTAACGCCAGTTTCAACTACTAGTTATAATATTGCAAAACGTTTTTCAGCTTAGAAGTGAACTAGGGATAAATATGATAAAGTTATCACATTGAAGTCTTTGTATTACTTTCAAAAAATATCACCTTTTTCTAGTCGTCCAGGGATATAGGGTACAGTGAGCATTTTTGGCATACCAGATAGAAACAAAAACGATTTGCAAATAAACGTTTCTTTAATAAATAGATTCTTATTATTCTCGAACCATTCCTGAGCCTTGAAATTAAAAACTAAACATTTTGCAAAAAACTATTTTCTTCTGAAAGCTTGATTTAAGGCATGTAAGGCAAAAATATTCGATGAACGCTTATTTTACTCGAAACACATTGTCTTATACATATTTCAATGCAGTTTGACGTGCTACTCCAATTCTGATATCAATTTTACAAAACACTTGATTGAAACTGGATAAAATCCAAAATTACGTTAAAAACCTTGTCAGGGCAGCCCCTTGTGGGGCTAAAATGGTGAAACTCCTTTACATTAGCCGAAAGATGGTATTGGGAATAGTGTACACTAACATAGAGGAGCACCGAAAATTGCAGCTGTCTTTTAAGATGAATACACTATCCTTTTAAGAGGGATACACCACTCTGTTAAGATGAATACACCTCCTGAATAAGATGATTACACTATCCTATTGAGAGGAATACACCGCCAGGTTAAGATGAATTGATATAAGTTATTAGTACGATTCTGTTGCATTTTGTGACCTTTGATATTTTTAAATCGTAATTTTATTCCCACAAATTATGTTCGTCTAAACGTTTCGATGCTTTGCATCTTCATCAGTAGACATGTTTAGACGAACATAATTTGTGGGAATAAAATTACGATTTAAAAGTATCAAAGGTCACAAAAGGTTAAGATGAATACACCCGAGGGAGAAGAGTTAAAAACAGGCCAAAACAGGGGTTTTTGAGTATAAAACTTCAATTTCTTCTCCTTTGGAGATACTGAAGGAGTTTCACAAAAGCTATATCTAACCCAGACAAAAAGGTGTACACACTATAGATGTACTATATATAATTAAATAATTTAATGAGGTTAGACGAATTTCAGAAGTTAGGAAAGGTTAGAAAGCTCATTATACAGACACCCTCAAAAATCAGCGTAACTACCAAAAGAAAGCTTTTCTGGTCCGTTGCTACGTTTTAGAGTAATTTTTCAGATAACGCAATTATAATTGAGTCTTGAATCGAAAGTTTTTATAGCCCACATTATCAGTGTTTATAATCCCTCTCCTATTGAATTTAGAAAACCTTACGCTCAGTTTTTCATTAAATGCCTGCTTGGATGTGCACTGTGTAGGGAAAGGAAGAGCATAATAAAAGATGACATATAGTCTTTCCCAGATTTATTCTATTATTTTTATCTATTTCTTGTTAAATGAGTTAGTTTCACAAAAAAAAACATTAGATATTAGCATTTCTTCGATAAAAAGAAACTGAACCACAGAATAAACAAAGTTTGTCCTCTATTTAATGAAACTACCTCATTGAACCATTGAACTAAACCTAGTTCTTTGATAAATTACATCCGTGCTAAGTCTTCTAAAAGATTTTATAGTCCTGTCCATTGCGGTATACTTGGGAAGATAAAATTAACAATTTCCGTTATTCTTCCTACAGAATTTAAGAAGGAGAAATAGATTATGAAAAGTTAGTTTATTATTGAAATTGTACAACTTTATAACATTAGTTTTAACGTAACAGTTATTTTTGCAAACATTGCTTACAGATAAATTCTTTTTCTTAGGTTTGAAAGTTCGTATATCACTACAGGACGAAGGTATAGTAATTAGAAATCTAAACGATGCAAATCAATCATGGCTGTTTAAAACATCAGAGTTAAGCGAATATTGGATTGATCCATATTCAAATGATATTTGTATCATTATCACTCTAAATCGTTCACGTCAAGCATTAATGCCGTATTCTGCCAGTGTATTTCGTTTACGTGGTAAAGATTATACTTATTTTATTCAAGAAACTCGACAATATTTTAATCACATAACAAGTGGTAAAAAAACATGGAAAAGTAGTAGTACACATCATCACAATAAAAATAGTAGTAGTGCAATACGTATTAAATATTCACCACTAGAAACTACGTCAACAATGAGTCATCAAAATATGCCAATTGAAAAACCATCCCGTGTTGAAAATTGGCCCAATGACAAAGATTATTCGTCAAATAAAAAAACATCAAGACATGACAGCAGGTCAAAACATCGCAGTAACAATGAACATTCAAGAGCAACGACGACACCTAAACGTTCCACATTAACAATACTATCAAAGCCAGAAATTAGTGATGAACAACAGAAAGTAGTGAATAAGCCTACCTATAATAATGGACTTTCTGCATCAAAACCAAATACTATTCGTCTTGTAACACGATCAGAATTTGATACCGGTGTTACTACCACAAAAACAACAGAACCAGAGCCACAAACAAATACTTCGTACGATTCTCGAACATATAGTGAATCAGCAGTATCAAGCAGTGAATCACAAGCAACATCAAAAGATACAACTGTAACAAAAACAACAACAGATAACGATACTGAAGACACAGTTAGTTCTACATTACCGGGCGTCTATGTGTCCGAATTGATTAAAGAACTGAAAGAACTCCGGGTAGAATTAGCAGCACTTAAAACCGATGCTAATCTGAAATCAAATAATGGACGAGAGACACCACGTCTTGAAAGGCGCTCAATGAGCACAAGTCCACTGAGTCGCAGCAGTAATCAACAAGAAGAAATTGTTTCACCACAATCAGACGATGTTGCAACAATGTTAACAACACAGAAACATTCAGTTCAGTCATTACAAAACAGTGAAAATGAATCACCCACCGCCACCACCACTTTATTGGAAAATTTACCACAGCCTCCTCCACTACCACCGCGATTAGACGAGTCAGCGCTCGTCACTAGCGTTCAAAAACGAAGACATATAAGAAAAGATAGAAAATCATCAAAACGAAAACCTAAGAAACGAAATCGGTCAGCGAGTTCAACCACATCAGTCACTGCCACAATTTCCGATGCTGAAGGTAGCCAATAAATCAGAGCTTTTCATCATAGTTGTATTCTATAGCATAGACTCTTAAGCGAAAGATATCCGCCGTTGTTTGAAAGCGCATGGGATGTGACGCTCTATTATGCCTTTCAGTCGAATTTAGTGTAATAACTCTAATAAACAAAGTCTATTGTTTTTTATTTAGAAACAGTAATGGAACGTGGAACACACATGAATGATACTCAGTTGCCACCGATCATATATTCTTATAATAATTCTGCTAATTATAGCCCTCAATTTGATGGAACTTCGATCAATTCTTCTTCGAATGACAGAAATGATCCGGCAATGTTACGTATTATTAGAGAAGAAGAATTATTAGCTAAAGTTCCTTATGTAATTGAAAATGAAATGATTAAATTATTCCAGGGTAATACAGATAATAATGGCATTACCGTTACATCAAAATCGTATCCATTCAGAGAATCAAAACGCTATGGCGATAAAATCCATCAGTTAACCGAAACAACCAACAAGGAACCAATTTATGAAAATGTAGGACCTACATTCGAGAACAATGACTACGTTAATATGCCATTATCTACATCGACTAACGATTACACACAGGGTGATGGTTATTATTACTACACAATTGATTCTAATACAAATAGTAATCAAATACCCCAGAAACCTCGTAAAACGCGAAAAAGTAAAAGTCATCAACACCAAGTAGTAAATGTCCAACAAAATGGTATTGATAATACACAGACATTTACTCAGAAACAATTAGAACAGTATTTTGTACAACAACAACAACTATCATCATCCTCCAATTTCGATCCACAATCCCAACAATATGTCACACAGTTATTACAACAGAATGGTTACATTCTACAACCAATGTCATCGGACGCTTGGACAGCATTATTTAATCCATCGAATCAAATACAGCACCAACAACAACAACAACAACAACAACAGCAACAAAATGACATTGCTGTCAATGAAAATAGTGTGGAAGTAACACCAGCAACCACTAATCGATCCAGCCGTTCACATCGTGGTCAACCGGTATATTTTGCTGATCGTCTAACAAATCCTGCGTTTAGCGTTGATAAAGAACTGTTAACAAATACTATTGCAAATCAATTTGGTTATGATATTAATTCACCACAGTTACAACAATTAGTTCAAAATCAACATTTGTTTGCCGCTAGACGTCGTACATTTGCCAATATGGTTTGGCAATTAACACCCGATGAAGAATTAGCACTTCTCTCATCCTCTTCATCATCGACAAATCATTTATCACAAAATGATTCAGATACAACAACCACAAATCAAAACAATAATAATAATCAAATGAATGGATCAAACGGTAATGGAAAATCAATATTAAAAAAAGAATATATCAAAAATAAACCCCCAATTATTCCATCAACAAATACGACTGCATATAATAAACGAAAAAATGTTAGTTTTACAAATCCTACATTTTATGTTAGTTAAGTCAACTTCCAAATATATATGTTTATTTTTTTATTATTGTATTTAAGAAAGATAATAAAATGAACTGAGTCTACGTAAGGTGCCAGAAATTCAAAATTTCAGCACTCATTTTTATCCACTTATTCATACATGGTTGGATAGAGCTCGTCGCAGTGAGTAAGCAAAAGTTGTTTTTAATTATTTTTAAAAAATGTCTAAGGGAGAAAATTTAGAAATACTAAAATACCCAAAGGACGTGGGCGATAATCTGATGAAATCGGTCTATGCCTTAATTTCATCGACTAATCAAAGGCTAGATGTAGAATGAAAAGAGGAATATTTCTAGGTACTTACCAGACCTTAGAACCACTCTCAGAAAAAAATTGGTCGAATTAAATTTGATTAAGGTTCTACTGCATCTGATATATATTAAAGATCGTATTTTTGGATCTTTCTCTCTCAGTTTCAAAATTTCTCACGACTATTATATATCATTCGAAAGCTCTTTTTCTTCGCTATGTTTCTGTATGTTACATATACGGAAATAGTCGTTATGAGGCCGAGTATATTGAGAAATACTTCTGGCTATGGAAAATCATCTATGTGCAAAAAGTCTCAGATATGTCAACATTTCTCATCCGACCACTACAGTAAATATACCATTCGGCAGAGAATTTGTCGAACTACAATTTGATATATATAATATCGAGAAAAGTGTCCTAGGGTACCTTGACATTAGAAATGTATCTGTAAAGCCAGAATTCTGCTCGTAATTCTCACTTTCTCCATCAAAACTCAACTTTTATGCAATAAAAATACCGTTTTCGGAATCAGGATCAAACACTGAGTCGACTAATGTGTATTTCAAAATTTTTACTTGATTTTCATTTTTTGTTGAAAATCTGGATAATTTTTCAACGTGAAAATCGATAAAAACTGAAGTAGTCGAATAGGATGGAAATACACTTTTGGTTGGCTCAGTGTTTGATCCTGATTCCGAAAACGGTATTTTTATTGCATAAAAGTTGAGTTTTGATGGAGAAAGTGAGAATTACGAGCAGAATTCTGGCTTTACAGATACATTTCTAATTAATTAAGGCATAGACCGATTTCATCAGATAATCGCCCCTGTCCTTTGTTAGAAAAGCTAAAGTTTTCAAAACAATGACATTTGATTATTTTTCGGTAGAAATCTCAGTTTATTTACAACAAAAATTCCTAAAAAACGTTGAAGTTGTTAGAGAGAGCTGAAAGCTATATAAAACGATGCAGTTTTTAACGCTGATTTCCAGTATCAGATTAATATTAAAGAAAAATTAAAATTTGATGATTAAAATTGAAGAATATTAGCACAATTTCCTATTTTTTGTGCTCTTTTTAAAAAAATTATTTTCTCCGCAATGACAAAGAATAAAAAGAAAATTGCTGCATACTTTTATTCTCCAAGCTTTGAGACAGAATCTACTAAAGGAAATCGTTCTATATTTCAACTGAAAAAACTATGAAAAATAAAAAAACAAGAAAAATGGTATGTTATGTCCATTATCGTGATAGGTTTGCAAAACGTCCAATGGTCTTTTTAAAGGATCTGCTCGAGTCTAGCAAATCAGATGAATATATCGATTGAAAATCGATCACTTATCGTTCTTATACTCAGTTGTTCATGCTGAATCCGAAAAAAATAGTTTTGAGTCACCTTGCAATGCGATGCATAGTTAGTTGAAATTTATTTATTGTCTAGAATATAAAAATAATGAACAAAAAAGATGCCTAAAATTCTTCAAAAAATAAGACTATTTTTAAATCTCATATTTTACCCATTGACAATTAGCTAAATAGGCTGATTGTTCACCCATGAAATCGTATAAAAAATCTCCATGACTAAACACAGCAATTCGTTTCTCTTGTCTTGTAGAAATAAAGCGTTTTGTCTCTGCAATACGTTCGGTAACATGTGTGTGAGTTTCACTACCTTTCGTCTCAAATGGCCACCACCATTTTTTGTCTTCTGGCACATTAGACCAATCGAATGTGGGAAATTGTTTTTCAATATCGTCTCTTTTCCTACCACAACTAAAATATAAAAACGATTTGTATTTTTGTTTTTTACACAAGTGATTATTTTTACCTATAATAAGTTGATATAATTTCGCTAATTTGTGGTAAAACAATAACGGGAATATGTTTTGTTTGAGCATATATTCCAATGGCATTTGTACATGTTTGAAGTGCTCGTGTTAATGGACTAACAAGAATTAATTCAATTTGTTCTAACTCTAATTCTCGTACTATTGCTTTTGCTTGAGCAATGCCTTTATCAGATAAAGGAGCGTCACGATAAGAATCATCTTCACAATAATCACGATTTGACGTCGACTGACCATGACGAATTAAATATAACGTTTTTCCAAGTCGTGAGGAAGATTTTGACGTAATAGTGGTACTTTTCTTTTGTGACGCTTTGTTTAACATATTTATAACTATATATTAGTTAATTTCAAACGGAATAACAAATCAACATAACGAAAAAGGAAAAAATATCTGATTTTATCTATAAATAATACACTTTTGAAAAAACGCGTCCAAGCATGTTTTGCATTTAAAAGCATAACCAAACGTGTTTCAGATCATGATCAAACGCAAATAAATACTTTGTTGCGTACAAGATAATTGACTATTTAGTTTCAATCTGCAGCTGGTTTCGAGCGATCTAGCTTTTAGACTGACATGTTTCGTCTATTTTTGAACTTTATTTTACGTCAATTTTTTTACTTTAGTAAAAACTTATTCGATAGATATAAAAGATTTTTCATATGTGAAACTTGAGTTGATCTATAAACGGCCGACATCTGTTAAATTTATATCAAAGAGTGCACCTCTAAAGTCCGGATTTCTGAAAACCAGTAGTAAAAAATCCCTTGGGTCTAAATGAATATCCAATTCGTGATCAGCATCAACAAGTACTCGTCTGTTCGTTCATCAAATTATTTTTTTATGGTGAACGCAAGAAAACAAATTTTTTTCTTACACACAAAGACTAGTTTCTGTTCACATTAACTTTATCGAGACTCTCGAAGGAGTAGTTGTCTCATATTTTCCGCATTATCACGTTGCACGTCACTCGCAGAATGGAATGCATGCTACATTTTCATGTATCTTGACTGAATCCCTTACAGTTCGTCTTACTCTTGCTATATAGTTCAAAGAAAATTAGTGTTTTATGATTGTTTTTGATTACAATGTAAATATAACTACGTCTGATCGTCTCATTACACATGCTAAATATAATGGTATTTTTGTTATTATTATATCTCTTGGTGTTACTTGTGATCCACTACTTGATGCTGCTGAATTGCTAAAAATTGTGAAACATAGAAAGTTTTTGCTTGTTCTTTTTGCGCTCAAAAGCAATAAAAAATTTAGTTCATTTAACATCCAAACTACAATTATACGAGGGCTTTTTGTGGTAACTGGTTTGTTATGTAAATCTTGAACAAAAACATTGTTTATCTATTGGTACACATCGAAAAGCTGATCGTTGGATACAGATATAGTCTAAAAGACCGTAAGGTTCAGCCCATTTTTACACATTTCTATATATTTGGCTTTTTATTCTTGTGTTACGCTTCCTTCATAATGTAGTAAAAACTCTTAAAACATTGAACTCTATTATTCCAAGGATCATTTCATCAACATTCTTAGGTAGTTCCTACGTGAGCATTAAAATCTTGACTTAATCTTAGTTAGGAGCTGACTTTATTTTTGGTTTCAGCAAAAGTCTTAAAGGTCGACTTAACTCTTCCAGACAGAAAAAATCGGCCGTTTATAGATCAACTCAAGTTTCACATATGAAAAATCTTTTATATCTATCGAATAAGTTTTTACTAAAGTAAAAAAATTGACGTAAAATAAAGTTCAAAAATAGACGAAACATGTC